TCCTTTCTCTTATTTTGTCTCCCTTTATGGCTTTAATCTGGTTCCACACATCAGTTGTTGGAGTATCTGGGTTCAATTTTTGGCAGAATGTCCTCCAGTGCGCTTCCTTAGCTTTGCGAATGACTTTGGTAGTTGCATTTCTGTGTTTAACATATTCTTGCCATCTTTCTGTTGATCCGAATTTTCTATAGCTCTGCAGAGCTCTTTTACGTTTATCTCTTGCCTCAGTGCATTCTTGTGTCCACCATGCAACGGGGTTCTTATTTACGTTTCTTTTATTGTTGTTAGTTAAAGTCTTATTTCCTCCCTCAAGGAGATGGGGTGGCATGTTTTTATTTGAATATTTCTTACAGCTACTTTTAGTATTGTATTAGTCAATCTTTCAGCAAAAGTATCTATGTTTTCACCCTCTGCTCTAACTAACTCTGTGTGATTAAGTTCATCTATAACTTTATCCCATTTCGCTTTTTTAAAATTGAAAGTAGGTTTGTTACTAGTTTCAAAGGATCCCCTGAGTTTCTCCTAATTTATGGGGAGGAGGTGGGAGAGGGGGGCTGTTTTATCTGGGTTATCACCCCTGCTTGAAGAAAATCCCCCCCCCCCCCACCCTCCCCCTGATCCTCACCTTCCTGAACATTTGTAAGTGAAGGGAGTATTATTTGCCATCTAACCATGTATAGAAGTTTTCTCTCTTTTTACATGTGTTTATAAATTTTCTAATAATTATCATACATTATTTTGTTATTGATATTTAAATTGTTATTATAAATAAGCACTTAGCTAGGCTGAAATTATTGAGGCCCTCTTTCTTATAAAATGTGTAATGGAGTTCAGGGCCTTTTCCCTGAAACCTGTTCCACTCCTACGATTTTTTTCGCATCTGATCCCCTGATGACAGCCACAAAGTATGTGCTTATGTTAAACCACGACTCAACAGCCTTTCAGAAGACATGAAATCTATCATTCAGTCAATCACTCTAGAGCAGTGAGGTTTTTTCTAAGGCCGGGGGGGGGGGTGCAGTTTCAAAAAGAGGGGCGTGGGGGTGGGGGGGGGGATATATCAAGCACATTTGGAAACTGAGTGCATTTATACTTGTAACAATCTGTTATGCTAACATTGTTTTCTGTTTAATTACAAATTAGAAACAGTTAGAAAAACAAAAGTGGGCTGTCAGATTGATGTGAAAAGTAATTTCTTCTTCTTTCTTTGTGTTCACCGGCTGTAAATTCCGGCGGAAAGTTCTGGTTGTTCGTCCACTTCTGGACTGCAGTCCTGTTCCAGAACCTGAGTGTTGCGTGTGAATCCGTTTGACAGATCTGTATGCAGACTGTTGGTTCCTTGCCTCTCAGGCAGATGCACTCCGACTTTGAGGGAAGCTCCCAATTAGTCGACTCTTACGACATGCTTTTGGGTAGGCAGTGGGTCTATTCTTGTTTTTTTCCCAAAGTAGGGCCCCGGAACCCACACATTGTTTCTTTTTCATCATCAACCTAAACAAAAACAAAAAGTAGATATCATCAAGGCAAAGTAGCGTCAGCCATCACAGTAATAACTAGACAGCAAATTATCTGTTAGTGAAGATTGCTTCTTTATGTGACCTGATATTCTGTTTTATGTAAATGTTTTCTCCAAGTTCTTGTTAATAGTGCTTGAGGCTTTTCTTGTTTGTACCTATTTTTTTTATTTACTTTTTAAAAAAAGATGGGTGGGAGGTTGGTTGGGGGAGAAAGGGTAGGGGTGGTGATCCTTGCCATTTATTCAATAGGGCAACTCCTGAAAACCACTTCTCCAGAGTAATAGTTGTTGTATCAATTGCATAATGCAGTTTGTTTATTTTATGCCCGTCATTCCTGCCATATTATGTACATACATATGTGTTTCATGTTTGCAAACTTAAAAATACAGAAGTCACTACACAGCGATGTCTTGTACATTGTTTATGTTGTGAAATTAGGATTTTTGTTTTTGTCTTTCTGGTTTTATCCCAATATCTACCTTCAAACAGACAGTCAAATATTTTAGGCGGTGTGACCTAGGCTGCATGCAGTCGAAAGACTTAGGCTGTATGCAGTCGTGGGACCTAAGCTGCACTCTCTCGTGGGACGTAGTTGGGTTTGTGTTAGGCCCAGTTCTAGATGTTTAGAGATAGTTAAAAGCATAAAAACGCCGGGAAACCCGCTCTTACCCCCCTGGATAATATTGGACTAACCGGTGACATCATCCTGGGAAGAGATATTGGGGAATCACCGTTTTGTTGTTTTTGTTGTTACTGTTGCTCTGTTTTTGTTAATGTACGCAGAATACACAAATAAGATTACATGGATTTTCCAGCCAGAGTACGCACCACTTCTGTGCAGATAAACTGACAATATTTACAACGGAAGGATAGTTTCTATATCTAAGAAAAGGATATCGCTAGCATTTTTAATGTTAGAGGAACAGTCAGAAAGAGGTTCATTAAGATTTGTGAGAAAAAGCTATTGTGGAGTGGGTGGGGGGGGGGGGGGGGGCGTGGATACTGCACCGGGGATAATATCGACTGAAATAGAAGATACAGGTTAAAACTAATTAATCAAGATGAAAGAAAAGAACTGCGGTCGTGAAAATCCTGGCAGTTCCCAAACGGGGATCATGTAAAGAATAGAACGGAAGCCATACCCTGAGCAAATGACGCCAGTAATTCAGAGCAACAGACGGGGGTGGGGTGGGGGGGGGGGGGGGTTAAAAAGGCTGGAAACGGGTGGAGAGAAAAGTGAGGGGGGGGGGGGGGGGGGTACTCAAACTAAACAAATAAATCAATGGGGTGTATGGTGGAGACGGCTCTGTGGCTAAGTCGATGCGAACGCTTTGTAATGCCGGGGTGCCGGGTTTGATCCCAGCTGCGGGCCATGCGCCTTGCATTGGTTTGACAGAGGTTAAGGGAGCCGACCGTCGAGTAAGCAATGACAAACTATGGGAACTATATTTGCCTAGAAAAACCACACAACAGCCGGGGGCTGCTGGGGCTGGTTCTGTAAGGTCCTGTAAAGGATACGCAACTAACCCAAGTATCGTGGAGACTGCTGGGCTGGTGTCTCTCAAGTGGATATTTTAAGCGGGCAATAATAATTATAATAATAATAACCATGAAAAAAATAATAATTAATATTAAGTGCTAAATTACAACAACACCAACATGAAATTATATACCAACACTTATATAAAGAGAACGGCTAAAAGACATTTTGTTTTAATGCAGGAGCATCAATCTCGTGAAAATGAGACCCGCCAGCCCGCCAGTTCCGGCAGCCTGTGTGGTTGTGTTTCTGCTATCCGTCTGCTTAACCACCAACCAGCCTGTCTGCGTGTCTGCTTGTTGATGTGTCTGATTCACCCTCTGTCTCCATGTTTGCTGGACAGACTGTATGATCCCTCTCATTCCCGTGTGCACGTATTTGTTCTGCCAGCCCCACGGGTGCAAAAACCATTAGCACATGCCCCCTTTCCCCACCCTTTCCCAATAAATGTGTAAGGAAAGTAAGGATATATAGAGGTGTGGAAAGTGGTCTTTTACTTTTATTTGAATACACAACTATAAGTCACTGGCAGTCAATATTCTTCGATCATATGATAGGAAAAGATGTATCCGCGATGACAGGAAAGATCATCGGTGGAAGAGGCATAGGTAGACCAAGAGACGATGCTTGATGGCCTCAAAACGATGGCGTGATTGAATATTTATCAGTGTATTTGATTGAAAATACCAATTACCAAGTTCTTTGAGAAGCATGAGCGAATACGCCGCTGGACAGGGTACATGATGAAGAATACTTGATCACACTGATGTGTTTTCATTTTTGCGTGCCCCCTTGAAATTAGGAGGATTAAATCTTCTTTTTTCCTGTCTTCGAGAAACTATTAAATTATTCTTTTCGATAAGGATCCTCTGTTATTCTTCAGTATTGGCGTTCTTGAGCATGCTAGCATCTTTCTGTAAGTGTTGGCAAATTTATCAGACATAGTCACATAGACGACAAAATTGGCTGATGCGTTAATACTGCTCAAAAGAACTCCAAAATTATCAACAAGCTCGTATAATGGTGAAATAAAAATAAAACTGGGTTGATAATATGAATATAAAGCAAGGGTTGGTATGGAGACCGAAATGTATATAAGACATACGGTCACCAACATTTTGACTACTTTCTCCTTGCCTACAGCCTTGCGTGTCATTTGTTCTCGTTTTATGGCTGCTTTAGTTAACTTAAATCCAATGGCCAGGCAACAGACTGTAACAATGGTTATACTTGTAGCGCAGAACCCATTGCTTAATCCAACCCAAACGTAGGTATCAATAAACGCTTGATGAGCTATGTAAAAGTTAGTGTATTGCATAAAAGCAGTGGTTTTGTTCCATCTGAAATCAAAGACCCATTCATACTTTAAAGCGAAAAAAGTAGGGAACATTGAACAGGCTGTGATAATCGGAACACATATGCACATCAACCGCATGCTGTGTCGTGTGAAGATCTTCGATGCGTGGAATGGAAAGAATACTGCGATGAAACGTTCCACTGCAATTATTGAGACATAACAGCAGCTACTGGCCAGACAGACGTACTTAGGCATAAACAGGAAAACCGTCACAAAAGTATGGACTGAAACTGATAAATCCAGGCTGAAAAAACTAAACATCATTCGGACTTTGGTTACAGGCACGATGATACAAAACATGAGGTCAGACACTGATAGCGACACCAGGATGATATTGGTTGTTTCTCGAAATCCGTGCTTACACAAAACAACAACGTTGAGAATGTTTCCGACCACTCCAAACAGGCATACAGTATTGATAAGGAAACAGTTAGTGAAGATCTCTATGGCTGTTAGAATATAGCCACCCAGATCTTTGTTAGCGTGCCAGCGAGTTGTCCCGTTTCTGATCTCATCGACAACGTTGCTCCGTGAGCTGTTGGTCTCGGTCATAGACGTATCATTGTTGCAAAGAAAACTGTGTTTCATGTTTGCGACAGAGTACTCATGAATACTGCTTGAAAGTTTCACCGTCATTTGTCTCAAAATGTGTTTAGCAGTCAGTTTGCTAATTATCATGTTGTTAATTAATGTCAGTCATCTACTTCACAATAAAAGTAAATAGAGGAGATTACTATAATGACGGTTTCTATTACCAATGTTATAATACTAATATAATAATGTTGACATAATTGACTTAAATGTTGGCCGGTGGTGAATTGATGTATGACAAGCTAGATATTGTGAGGCACCTTTGGGAGCGAGTGAACAGTGCGGAGGCATAGAAAGATTATTACTTTCTAAGGAGAATGGCGCTGCGAGGAGTTACCAGGAAAGAATTCCTCCCCCCACTTTGAATGACAGAGATATATTGCATAAGATGTTCCTCATTAAAAAAAAAAATGCAGTTTTTGTCTGTCCTATTCTGTTCCTTATCGCAGTAATGCATCTTCCATCTGTTGTTATCCATGTACCTAGATATATTTCTGCACTTCCAATACCATTCAAAGCTTAGTGGATTTAGAATCATTACTTTACAAAATACATTTGAGAAGGTCTTGTAGAGAATAGTCGCTGTCAAACTTTACGCATTTTTAGAAAGGAGAAAACTTCTTCCAAGAAGTTATAGGAACTAAAGGCCATCAAAAGAAAACTGTTCAAATATAACCAATTTTAATTTTGATGTTTATAAAGGGTTAAAAAACAAACACGAAACTGGTGGCAGCGTTTGATCTCGAGGATGCTTATACCAGAGTTGAATATGATATTTAGATGACCGCACTGATAGAGAAAGGAGCCACTTTCTGGCGGGTAAACTGGATAGCAGCTGCTCTGTATTCTCGTCGGGTTGCTCTCCGTCTGAGTTCATGAAAATCAGAGCCACGAATTATAGCCCAAGTCTGCCACAGGAATCGGCAATCTTACCGTAAGACTGTAAGCCTAGAAGTTCCAGGGGTTTGAATAATACTGACCTTTTCCGATGATTTTTCTCGCATATTGGCAGGGGAGAGATAAGAAACAAACGGCACAGGAGCTACAGGAAACAACAGATAAAATGATTGACTAGTGTACAGAAATGAGTATCCCAAGTCTCACTATAGATGGTAGAAAGGTCAGCAGAGAGAGAGAGAGAGAGAGAGAGAGAGAGAGAGAGAGAGAGAGAGAGAGAGAGAGAGAGAGAGAGAGAGAGCAAATTGAAGTATCTTGGAATCACATTTGACAAGAATCTATCCTTCAAGGACCACGTGGAGACGGTTGTGACACGATGTCAAAAGGGACTCAGTGCACTTAACACTTTGGGTGCAATGGACATAGAGCATTAGATGCTTTCCGCACTGTATCAACACTTAAAGCTTTTAGTGATTGATTATGGACTAGGACTGCACACTGTCTCAAACAGTCAATTAGTTAAACAAGAGCACATTAAAAACGCAGCGATGCGGGTCATTCTGGGATGTACCAGAGCCACCCCAATAGTGTGTATGCAATATATCTTTGGTTTGCCGACTGTTGTAGGTAGGTTCAAGGTGCTGCTGACACAGATCACCCTTTGCATGAGGAGCTGGATGTATTTAGTTGTCAGCGGCTAATAGAAAGGAAGAAATGTATGGCTCAGACAGAGGACACATTTAGACTTTCGCACGCTGGAGAACATTAAGCAAGGAAAGGAGTGGGCCAGAGTGTCAGCGGAACGGCCAGACTTGTGTAGTTATAATTATTCTTGAGCTGTGAATGCATGAAGTGGTCAGCAGTTATAAAGGAGGTGAAAACTAAACAATTAATTCTGGTGATGTTTTCATTTATACAGATGGTTTAGTGTCAAGTGGCAAAAGAACTGCCTGTGGGTTATTAGAAGAAGCTAATTTTCTACGTTTGGTGTAAGAAAATCTAGAATAAGTTACCACAACACACAGCTTAAGAATAGTAGCGGAGACCGTCACTGCAGCTTTTCGCTGACTAGAGAACACGATACGCACACACTTTCTGATTGTAACTGACACAGAACAGCATGCTCAGGAAGGTAAGGACATGCATGCCTTCTGCAGAGTAGTATGCTTCGCTTCGGAGGTCAACGATGAAGAGCATTGTGTGGATCATTTCACCGAGGCGTGCCAGTGTGTTGGTAAATAAACAAGCCGACAGATTTGTGGCGATGCACAACGTGATGGAATACAGATGCATGATAAGGCAGACATGGTTAAGGCATTATTTGATCATATGTACAATTCGAAGGAGCAAATTGATCATCAGTCTGGGGAGAGTGATGCAGCGAGGGGTGACTAGGGGATCTGGCCGATACTCGACGCTCAGAGGAAAGGCAAGACGAACGTTTAATCAGACTGCTAATGGTACCATTGGTATTGGAACTCTGCGCTGGCTGCTGAAGATGGGGACGGTCTGCTAATGGGAATGTCCCGAGTTCTGTGTTGTCGGTTCTTGAATCAAATCAAATGAAATCTGACTAATATAGTATTTCATTAAAAGCTCTATTTGGAAAGAAAATCGTATTTTGTTTTTGAAACAAATATTTAAAAGTTTTCCACCTCTGTATTCTGATTTTGGTTATCATGTGTTATGGCGAATCATGACGGCCTACTATTTATCACGGGGTATATGTTGATGATGATTGTTGCACAGCTAAACGAATGGGTCTCTATAGCTTTATGTTTGTACACCTTTTCTTGCTACATGCTTGGCGAGTTTTAATCCCTGTGTCCAGATTTATGCAGTTCAATGTGAAATGTTGAATTAAGGATCGACATCACAACATTCGGGACACTCCCATAAGTGATCCGTCTCCATCTTCAGCAGCAAACGAAGAATTCTAATTCCGATGGCAGCAGTAGCCGTCTGATTATATATCCGTCTCATCCTTTCCCTTGAGTGTTGAGCGTCGGATTATATATAACAATAAATGAAAGTTATTTCTATGTGGTTAACATTTACAGACAAGATGCCTATTACAAATTTTTCTTGCCATAGACAGTTCCATATAACAGTTTTTTTCTTCTTCTGCTCCATACTATCTTAAACTATAGTCTAAAAAAAACCACAACAGCCGAAAAAAAAAAGCTGGGGTTGGTTCTGCAACATCCTGTAAAGGATACTCAACTAACTATATAGTCTTCAGACTCTGGGAAATCCCACCTATCTTTTTGCCAGCACATAGTTTTCGTGCTGCTCCTAATTTTAATTTGATGACTGTAATTTAAATACCGTCAACTGCTGAGTACAGGTCGACCTAACTCGGCTTACAAAATCGACCACAATAATTGTTGCACAAAAATTCCGAGTTAGGCCTATACGGATTTGGAACATTTTATAGCCGCCATAAAAGTCGATCCATAGTTTTAGAGATATATTTTTTAGGCCTGAAAACGTGACTTACGTGCCGCGATTTACGTTGTACATTTTAAATGTAACTGACAGTAGCTCGTTGCGAAAGTATCATTAAATCTTTGAAGGTATCATTAAATATTTCTCGTTTTATATAACTAAGGGTTTAGCAAATGTCAGGTAACCGTTTCTCTGCTAGATTATTTTTTAGAGAGGTAAAAATGTTCTTGACAACAGATCTTTGTTATAATGTTAGCAATCCAGGCATTGCAACAAGTTTTCTGGGTCTGGGAATAATTACTTTTTAAATACATATGTTACTAACTTTTCAGTTTTAAATTACATGCCGAATTCCATGGAATTAATAGTCGGTGTAAGAGCAATAATTTTGTAAATGATAATTCAACGTATTTTGCTAAAATTAAAGCTCATGATGGTGACTGTCTGGCGTCCGCTTCCAGACGCCAAGATGGCTAAGTTCTGAATAAGTGTTGTTCTAGATCTCAAATATGTGAGGCGGAGAGACGGGGAAGGGGAATTCTGTATAAAAGAATTTAAAAATAAGCAATAAAGTAGTATTAATATTTGTCATTAAATATTATTGTACAATTGACGTTAAGACCTCTTTGATAAGATGCGTTTGCGGGGAACCGGGGAAAAAATTAATACCGTGCGTTTTGTCTTACTGTCATTTAATATTTTAACTTATCGGCCCACAGCGTCTAGATGTTTTATTAATCATGATACCACACGGCCGGCAAAAAGAGGTGTCGTTCAAAGTGCTCTCAAGTTTTTTAGCTCCAAAAGTCGCTGGACTGATATTTACGTATGTGTCGAGGCTATCAGTTGTCCAAAACTGAGGCCTACTAGGGAAAAAAATAGGATACAGTATATCGCAGCTGTTCCAAAATTACACAGGATATCATCGCTTGCATGCATACTGAAACACTGACCAAAATATGTTTCTACTGCGTTGTATAGTTAACGACTTAAACTCACACCTGTAGGTACTGAATACTGTATCAGTATAGTTTTGCCAATATTTTTTCTTCTTTCGTTCGCATAAAAAAAATTATCTATATCTGCAATGCTGTCTCTAGTATGAATTTCACTGTCTTTTTTTCAATTCACTAAGTGGCCCGTAAAGTTTGACTTCCACAAGTGTCTCTTTTGGCCAGAGGTTTTGCCTGGAAGCGATGAATCTGGGACAGTCTTGGAGGATGTGATCTGTTGTCTCAGGTGCCAGTCCACAGGTACACATGGCTGATTGGCCAATCTTAAATTTGTTGTACATGTGGGAGCGAAGTCGATTGTGCCCTGTTCTAAGGCGAAGGATAATGACTTGCTCTGGTCTTTCCATAATATGGTAATCGTCTTGTGCCAGTTTCGGTGGCATTCTGTTTGATTTGATCATTCTCTTCTTCTGTTGATAAGAGACTGGCATGTCGGATTGTTCATCAGTTGCACCTTCCTTAGCTAGTTTATCAGCTCTTTCGTTTCCGGGAACTCCACAGTGGGAAGGTATCCACTGCATTACTAGTTTACACGGTTGCCTAGTTCAGATAATAGTGTCCGTATGCTTGGTAATTTTCCAGACTGGACTGCCTGAAGTACAG